TCTTTCATGATTTCCTCTTTAGTTTGACATCCTTGCTCAATCGGGTGCTATAGTGAAAAATGTGACAACGACAAGGCTGCAAAAGGACCATGTGATCGTGATCATGATCAAAAGCCAAAGTACACTTCACCAAATTCCGTGAACGAAAATCCTTACCAACCTACAAACTTGATTGGATCAGTATCAACATTTAAGGAGAGTTTATGCATTATTTTATTTGAATCCTAAAATGTTCACTATGTACGGCAACACGTGTTTTTGGACCACTTTTCAAAAGATTTCAGTCATAGGTTGTAACTTGTGAGGGGGGTTGTGTTTGAAACATTGGGGCAGGGAAAGGTTGTGACGTAACGGAACCATGAACATGAATGTCTCTCATCTTCTTTGCATAGTTTCATTATGTTACACGTACCACAAAAATCATTTATTTTAAAACAACATATTCCATCAACATGCACATTTCCCCTTTATATCCATGAAAATATCAACACCACACCGTCATTCAAATAAAAGCAGCCATAGCAAGGGACACCTACCTTTTTTTAAATTTTATAATGGTCGCATTTAATTTAGAACCTTTAATAACATGCATACTATCATAAACGTTAATCCTATCCGACTAAGTTGACTTTGGTAGTTCTAGGAGACACTTACTAGCCGGGACAAGTTTAATGTGTTCTTTATTTCTCTTAAATATTTATTTCATTTCGGTACAAAAAAGGAGAGGCATTGATTAATAGTATTCAAAAAAATATGGAATGTCTAAAAATTACTACTCTAATGAAAATATCTCATATTGGTGTTTATTTTAGACACTTTTATCAATTATTTTTATTAAGTAACTATCGGTACATACTAATAAATTATGTTGTCCATATATAATTAAGCTATCTCTTAGCACTAGTTGAAGGGATAAAATATTCAAGTTGAGAATCTGGTGATTTATATATATGAATTGAACTTCAATGGAATATTTATAAAAACTTCACTGCTTGAGTCAATATTTACATATGGACGTTAAGACAAAATATAAAAATTATACACGAGACCTATATAGGTGTGCGTGGCCTATTTATATGATCATTCAATTATACTATGATATAGTTTTACAATAATTTATTATGATATTTGTTGTTTGTTGTCAGCATAAATTACGTACCAAATCTTATATTTTAGAGTTACATAAGCGTAGGTCGAGAGATCCTGAGTTCCCTTGTATACATGTGATTGGGATAAGTAATATATGTGGGACAATCTATTAACTTTGTTGTTTTGTGCAGATACGCATACAACAGAATGTTTATCAATTTTTATTGTTGAGAATTTTCAGGATATAATGATCCGAATAGCATTTTTTTATATCATTTTATTAAAGTATACCTGGTTAGTAACGGAAATATCTGTATGAATGTGAATCTGAAAGAAATTAAAATTGATTAAAAAATTAATTATCGCGTCATAAGAATCAACACACTTATCTATTTCTTTAAGAATAAAATATAAAAAATAGAAAATATTTTATTGCTGTGAATTAATGTTCTATATTTGAAAGTATAATTTTGTAATAAATTAAAAAGACATTCTATCTATTTATATCTATCTATATATATATATATATAAACCAATATTGAACTTTATTCTTTGCTTCTTTACTTTGTTTAATAAGACGATAAGAAAGTAACGAGAGACAAATTTAAAATTTGAATTGAGGAAAAAATATAATGAAATAACCATTGAACACATGGACAAACTAACACTGAGCAATTTTAATTAAATCAGTGATCTGAAATTAAAGTTTTTAAATATTTCCTTGAAATAAACTTTATTTTATTCATTGATTAAAATTTGTTCGACAACTAAAAATAATGTCCACCTTTCCATTTTGTGAAATATTTATTAAATATTTTTTAATAGCAAATAATTTAATAATAGCCTAATTAATTATAATTATATTGAATTATTTTTTCTGCGTAAAGCTCTCAATGTTTTCATATTATTTTCTCTGATATTTTAGTCATGCAATACATATGTTTAAATTTATTATATATAATTAAAATTTTATAATAAAAAAATATATAAATGAATATTATATTTAAATAAATAAATTATATTTAAAATTTATATAAATAAATATTTTTAAACATATAAATTATATTTTAGATTTATGATAAATAATTTAAATAATAGCATAATATTATTTTTACTTATTGATAATTTATTTTAAAATATTAAATTTTAATTCATAAATAATTATGATAAATAAAAATTAAATTAAATAAGAAGTTCAAAAAAATCTTAAAATTGCTTTTACCGAAGAAAAATGTCTAAAAATATTTTAATATAAGATAGATATTTATGATTAATATATAGGAGTTGATAATTTATTTATATTCTGACATAATATTATTTTATTTATTAATAATTTATTTTAAAATATTAAATTTTAATTTATAAATAATTATAATAAATAAAAAATGAATTAAATAAAAAATTCATAAATTCTTAAAAATTATTCGATCGAAAAAAGTCTCTAAAAATATTATTAATAAAGGTTAATGTTTAATATATAAAGAATAATTAATTATATGTATTTAAACTTTTTTTATATAAAATGTGCATACTCCAAATATTCTAAAATACAAAAATGACTCGTTCAAAAATACATGCATCGTATTAATTATAAGTAAAAATGTATTTGAGTGACTTTTATAAAACAGTCCAGAGTCATAATTATATCTGATCTGACTAATAAAACACCTTATCTCAATAAAAAGACAAAAAAACCTTAAATATGCTTTTTTGTCAAATGCTTTAGTTTATAATTGATATTGAATTCTTCAGTTTTGATTATTCACTTTAATTTTCTTTTAGTCTTTTAATTATTAAAATCAAGCTTTACATGAGTGTTTTAACAATTAAAATAAAAATAATTGCATCAAAGTATGTTAAGATGGTTTCTAAATCTAAAAGAGAGAAATTAAATAGTGAAAATTTTATAAGATGGTCTTAAAACATTAGAATATTATTGTATTTAATAAAATTTAATGTTATTTTATATTCTTTAAATTTAAATAATGACACTTGTATGTCATCTTTAATAGTTATTAAATAATAAATATGTATTTTCGAGACATCAATGAAAAATATAAATGTTATATTTATCTTTATATCTTTTTATAACTTTCTAATGATAGCTTTAGGTTATTTTACATTAGTGTAGTTATTACTTATTAGCTTCCAAACAAAGTATAGTGTATCATTAATTTATGTAAATTAATATAAATATATAAATTATTTAAATAAAAATAAAATGTAATGCAACATAATTTTATTTTTATTTTTATTTAACCATAATTTGTATTTTTATTTTTTAATCTATACAAATCAATTGTTAAGAGATATTAGCCAAGTGATAGTGACTAAAATAACAATTAAACCTAATAAAAACCAAGTCCATCTAAGAAATATTAGTCACAAACTAAGCTTTGACCACCTAAAAACATAAAACATTATAGAATTTTTTCTTTTATGTGATACATTGAGAAATAAATCTATAAGAGGAATATTATCACACGTTTATAATATTCCCTTTACTATATAAGACACAAATGTATAAGGAAAAAATTATGTTAAACACTTTTTTAATATTTATTTTATTAATATTAAGAGGTCTAATGTCTTTAATAATTATACATAGATAAATATTAAAAGGTTAGTTATTAAAAAAAATATAATTTTTTTATATATGAAATATATAATAATCCAAGTGAAGATAAAAAATGATTATATATTTTAATATTTTATTTATAATAGATATAAATTTAAAATGATTAAAATTACATTTTTTAAAGTAAAATTTACCTTTAGATCAAGAGACAATCTTTAAAAGAAAAATTAAGTCTCATCGAAATTAGTGATTTTAACATGATAATAGTAAAAAGAAAGTATTTTTGCGATGTTAAAGTATACAGTGAAGTATATAAATATAGTAATAACCAATACAGAATGAAGTGACAAATATGCAATTTTTCATGAACAAGATCATAAAATAAAAATTTAGGATGTTGTGGCCCCAGCCAGAAGTGTGGACCCTTCACCAAGTTGGGTGTGTGACACTGATTCGTTAATATGCAACTTTTATATTTAAAGATGTGGCATTGTCCCATATGTGGTTCTCTTCTGTTCCCTCCCAAACAAATTGAAACGTAAAATGTTCTATTCCACCAAAACCAACCCTTTAAGCCTTAGCCTCTTTCCAAGGTCCATATTTTCCCTCCCATGGTCCCCGCTTCACAATATTTGAGTTTCTGAATCTCAAGGATCATATCCAATGGCACACATTCAACCAGGCCCCATATCTTTATCTATTTTTAATCCTTAAATCATTGATTTCATATAGTACTTTTTAATTTGAGGATTTTTTTTTAAACAGCAGGGAATGTTTGGATAAATTTTTTTATACCAATTTTCATGTTCAATCTACCTTAAACAATTGTGTGTGTGTGTTTATATATATATATATATATATATATATATATATATATTTTTTTTTATAGTTTTGAAACAAAAACTTAACCTC